GAGGTATTTTCATTTGAATTCATTATTACATTATTGTGGCAGATCAAAAGACTGATACAGAACAAAAAAAAAGTGACTTTATAAAGTCATTTGTTGTTTAACAAACTTTAACAGATGCAGTCACTTACATTCCACAGTATCATCATTATTATTACTATTACTATTCTGCATAAATAAACTCAACTTTACAACATATAAACATCACCACTCGAGAGCCACATCAGCCCGTTTGACGTCATAATGTGTTTAATTCAGTTTTGTGCAAGTCTCACAGAAACAAAACTTAAAACCGCAATGCTCATTTGCATTAACTAAGCGGAGAAAAAAAAAAAAAAGCTCTTGTGCGCTGATGCGGTTCAACTTCTGTCAGACTAAAGGACACGACTCAGTGGAATACGAATGTTCTTTCTGTGACAGAGATGTTGAAGGTGAAGGTGAGTCTGTTCTGTGTGTGTCACGATGTTTTCAAAGATCGCAGGTTTATTGCAGATGTGGACCGAGAACGGGAATGAAAATTACAATTCTTTGCGGGAGCGATGTGTTGTTGTCCCAACGACACATAAAAACAGATTTTATAATAAGGCAGGTTAAAAAAACATAACACGCTAAATATGACTGTAATTAATCGCAATTAACGCGATCATTTGACACCCCTACTTAACATATAGTACTGTATTTTCCACACTATAGGGCGCTCTGGATTATAAGACGCATTGTCATTAAATGGTCTATTTTTGAACTTTTTCACAAATAAACCATACCGTAACTTGGTCTGTTTGGTCTCGTGAAAATGGAAACGTTTAATACGATACTGTGAAATATTCAAGACAAAGCAAAAACATTACTGTGGAGAAAAGCATTTGACAGACTCTCCACAGAAAAGTTACACAATGCAGCTTTAATGGTTCATATTAAGCTTTTGATCTATTTGATCGATGTCCTAATGTTTCCTCATCACAAACAGACCTGGACCAAACAGACCAAATAATAAATTTTGTTCCACCTTGTGATGTCATGTGTAATCCAGGAAGTGCTCCACTGTGTTTTTAAACTCTATACACCTTCACAAAGGATCATTTCAACCTTGGAACTTCCAATCTGTACTTATTACATATAGTTATTACCGTATTTTCTGCACTATTAGGCGCTCTGGATTATAAAGCGCACTGTCATTAAATGGTCTATTTTCAAACTTTTTTCACAAATAAACCACATTGGACTTTAAAGGAAACCCAACAGTGTGATGGGTGAGTGGTTTTGTTTGTTTGTGGTGTTCACGGTGACTCTGGGCTTTGTTCAGTTGTGGCGTGTAGGGAGGGTGCTGTCTGGGACCAACGGATTGTCGGCGTGTTTGCAGTGACTCAGTTGTTCAGTTGTGTCTAGAAGTGGCACATTGCACTCTGTAACGGACTAGGGCTAAGGATTGAAGTGGCAGGAGTGAAAGTGTGTGAATAACTCAAAAGACACAAAATTCTGTTCAAAATTATATATTAATAATATGAATTCAAGTATATAAGAGGTATGAATAATAAAAATGTATTTATAGAATATTATTATTACTATATATATATATATATAAGTATAGTTTAACAAAATAAAATAACACACACACAAAAAATGACACAACCAGTAATTGTCTTTCAAAAGTCTAAGTCCAGTTTATAAGCGGGTGTAGAGGGTGGTATGGTCCATTAGAGTTATTGTAATCCAAACTAGGTAGGTTCTGGTATTGTGAAGGGGTGTATATGTCCTACTTTGATTCATGTGGGCATCTGTAGCTCGCCATCCAGTGCTGAGTTGTAGTAGTGTAATAGAATGATCCAGTGGGGGGAATAAACCAAGAGTAAATCAGCTCCAACCAATCTTTATTGGATCCATGATTAATGCTTTTTTCCAAGTGTTTGAGCAGCAGTGTCGTAGCACTGGAGGAGAGGAGCAGGAAGGGTGTGTGTGTGTGGGGACCCCGGAACTTAAAGAAAGTTGTCCTGCCACAATAAGGGCGCCACAGGAAATGGTGCTACTTGGGTTGCAACTCGCTATTTTAGTTCGTTCCTCCGTTCCGTTCCTCGTCGGCGTGAAGTGATGAGTGTGGTTGTTGGTGTTTCTCACTGTGCGGCTTTGTAGTTTACTGAAGTCGTGCTGGGACACCCGAGTGGATCCGTGTATAGGGCGCTCTGGATTTCGGGGCGTGCAGTCGTTTTTTGATGGGGTTGGAGGCTTTTGAGCGCGCTCTATGGTGCGGAAAATACAGTATGCAAAATGTACATTTTTCACATTTGTTCAATCATGTTGTGTTGTAGATTTCTCATCAAAAACATTCCTGGAATTGTATTTTGTTTCATTAATGCAAATCCAAAATTGTCATCTCTGAGCACTAAAAAATGCTTAATTCATATTTTGCATGGATTGTTGCGTCATAGGCAAAAATTCTGACTTCTCTTATACAATTTTTAAGGCCATAAACCATCACTGGACTTATTCTGCCGTCAGATTGTAATAACAACAAACACATGCCCCCTGTTAGCATGCTGTTCACTCGAGATATTTATTTTCTAAATGTTAATTCCTGTTGCTGACAGCAGAGGGCGCTCTAATGCCTAAAGGCCTCATTGTTTTATAAAGTATATTGTCCAAGTGCAGACATTATTTTAAGTTAGAAAATTCCAATGTGACCAGAAGCATGTTAATGGAAATTAAAGCCACAAAAATACAATCTGAAAAGTAAAAAAGTATTTTAGACAACATCCTTTAACTTGGACAAATGTTATTAACCCACAAGGGAAGTTATTTGGACTCCTAACTAAAGATTTTTAGTAAAAGTCAAAGCTTTGAACACACACAAATATAACATATGACAAATTTACAACAAGAAATTGATTGTTATTGCTACTTTCGACCAAAACAGGATGTTGGAGCAGAGAGGAGGATGGAGCCCTGGAGCCAGGGCCAGTCCTCGGCGATGAGAAATGTAGCGTCCAGAGGAAAGTCCAGCTCCATGGTCAGACTGTCAGAGTGAAAGATTTAGAGTGGGGAAAGTCTCATTGTCCAACCGCTGACCTCTGACTTTTGTAAACTTCCATTGTTTTCATTCAAGCAAAGATGACTGCATGTGAAACGTGTAGGCACATTCAAAAATGAGGTTTCTTGAAGTTCCCTACACTAATATTCTAATTATTTACAGTTCTAAGCACAGAAGGCAAGCTCAGTCACAGTAAGAAGGTTTGTTCCTCATCACAAGTGAGGGCTTTGCTGTATGGAGTTTGTGTTTGGTCCAGATTCTCCAGTTGCCCCAACCTCACCCACAGTCAAATATAGAAATCATAATTCCAGTTGGTTCAGTTATCATATTGGTGACATTATTTATATTAGTGATGTTCCCATACCATTGTGAAAACTGATTTGATACCGATACTTTGCCTTATGGTACTCAGCAATACCAGTTCAATACTGTGCAGTGTGAAGAAGTCGACTGAGGCTACTCAATTTTGTTACAGTGCAACAGCAAAAAATAAAACACTGTTTCGAAGATAATCTACAGGAATAAAAGATTTTCAGGACCAAAGTCACATGTATATTGGTCTTAATGATGAATTGTGCTAATTTAAGCACTTTTAATATTGTACTTAGTCACTTTCTATCACTGTGTGTGCATAAAAATAACAGAAGCCTGTAAAAATACGCACATCCTTAGAGTACATGGCTCATTCTGCAGAGTAAATACATTCAGTAAACCGTGTTAGTGCTGATGTCTCTACTGTGAGGCTGCACTCTCTGTAGTTATGATACTAAATTCAGTGTCCACACTAAAGGCTAAATAACAGTATCAGAGAGGTAACACAAATGCCTTTTCTGTTGTTATTAACATGTTTTAAGTATCTACAGAGCATCTGCATCGTTGAACCTGCTCTGGGCGTTAGCGTTACCGAGTGGTATTGGGTGGGTCGGGTGGGTCAGTGTCATACTGTCCTTACTTTATCTAATAGAATTTGTCTCTGCATCATATAACTTTTTTTAATGAAATAAAACAACAACAACAACAAAAAAACAGGTTGTATCATCTAACGCAGGGGTCTCAGCTACAGGTTGGAGCCACCCACTTCCAAGGAGCTCGCCGTGGGATTTCTGAATTGTATGTCTCGTGGATAATAAGTAAAATTTGAATAATCACTGTTATATATGTATCATTTTGATGCCTAACTTGGTGCACCAATTAATGGATAAGGTTTATGATTTATAAGCATCTAAATGTTCCCCATCTAAGGCTCACTGTGGCTCTTATATTTACTCTATAGTTTCTTTGCCACTGCTGAAATTGGCAGCTCTCTGGCATTTTTGTTTCATAAAAGTAGCTCACTGGAGAAAAAAGGTAGGAGACCCCTGGTAACGTGTACTTCAGACCTCTACAAACCTGTTTTGAGATGCATCTTCGATTATTTAATCAATTCATAAACTGAACTGACTGTTGTCTTCATTCAAAAGAAATAGAAGCCCTCTGTCTCGTGCAGGTTTAGTTTGCCAGCGGTTAAAGTTTAAACAGTTTACTTTGACTTGTTGTCATGCTCCTCGGTGATTTCACAACCTCTGACCTTTGACCTGTCGAGCATGTCTCCTGACCTCTCCTACCTCCTCTTCTAGCTCGTCTCCTATCTGCTCTCCTACCTCCTTTCTTACCTCCTTTCCGAGCTCTACCTCACACGTTCCTTACACGTGCCTCTCCCCTGTCTTCACACACACTTTCTGCTTTATGGCCGCAGTAGCTTGATCTTAACAAGAACTCAATTACCTGCGAGAACCGAGCGCTACCTCTCCATGCCGTAAACCTGCTGTCAGCTCCGAGTTGTGTTTTATTGCACTATTACACAAGCGCATATACAAGGGTTGGCACGCTGCTGCTCGCTCCGCTCATGTTAATAAGGGGCTAAGATCACATGCGCTGCCCCAACACTGAGTCACCAGTCTGGGTTGGGACCTGACCGACTTCCCCCCCCTCTCTCTTCCAGACACGAGCCGGCCCAAGAAGAACCAGGAGAGCGACGGAGTAGAGTACCACTTCATCGCCAAGCACCTTTTCGAGACCGACATCCACAATAACAAGTAAGGCTGAGGGTTTGAAGCCACATTCGCACATAGTTCCCAGGAAAGTACACTCAATAGTACGTTATAAGGCATCATAAAGACTAAAGACACAGTAATATTTCTCAAGTTTTATTCTAACCCTTAAGGTCCTATATTATGCAAAATTGACTCATGTTGAGCTTTAAGCCATGTTGTTAGCTCATCAAAAATCATACCATCAAAGAGCCTTGGTGTGTGTTCTATGTGAATAAAACCTGAAAATTGCCAATACTGCTTAATTTCCTTGGTTATGAAATTTGTTTTCTGGTTACAAGCTTGGTTTCCTTGGTTACCGGCTTGATTTACTGGTTACGAGGTTGTGTTCTGGTTACATGATTATGTTTTTATGTTGGAACATAACCGCGTAACCAGGTTAAAACTTTTTTAAGAGCCGTGACGTGCAGTGTTAAATGTGTGTTGACGTGTGAAAAATGGTCTGGTGTGCATTGGCCTTAAACCTTTCCCTGCATATTCCGAATATTTTAACCAACCTTAGGGGTTAGAGGTATCTCGATATTTTAAATATATGGAGATATTTTTTTAACACGAAATGGATTCTAACATATCGTATATAGATATAATCCTTATGTTTAATTCTGATTTTGCCACTTCTCTTTTTTTTTTAATAGTTTGTGCAAATGAGCCATATGGTTTTACGTTTCATTTCTGTAAAAAGTAAACAAATGTGGCAAAGCTGCATTTAACACATCATAATCTCATTAAACTCATTATAATGTCAAATGGACTGATGTGGATCTATGTAGTTATACTTTATGTTGTAAAGTTTAGTAATGTACAATTTATTTATGCGGAAGATTTTATTTAATAATCTGCTGCAGTGTAACTTGTACAATAGTGTTTGGAAACGTTGGGTTTGATCTGCAGTGGATTGTGGGAAACCTCAGAGCTCCTTACGCTGGTGAGGAACATGGATCTGTTAAAATAAGGAACCTCCTGAGCTTCCTCTGCTAAAGGAGCTCATGCTTCTGGTTATCGTACGGCTACAGAGTTAATGCAAGAATGAGCTTGAGTTGAATTGTTTTATTTTTGAATGAAATGAAAGCAATATGTTATTTCTTCCTGTGTCGCAGAAGCACTTTGTTTGCATCTTTGAACTTCAACAAAAAAGGACCTTGTGGAATTTGGCAGATTTGTTTTTGCAGTAGTTTTGGGGAGTTATTTTTCCTGTACAGAGATATATATTTTGTATATCGAGATATAGCAAAATATATCAAGATATATTATTTGCTCCGTATCACCCAGCTCTTACCAGCCTGATCAAAAAAGCAAACGTCGACATCAGTTCAGGCTTCGTTCACACATGACCCTGTTCTTACAAAATGCAGGTAAAGTCCCGGCTCAGGCTGCATGTGTGAATGGGTCTTACAGCGATACAACCTGGAGTGTGCTGTGACTCTGCTTCTGATTCAGAACACATAAAAAATAATGTGCTTGTTATGAGGACGATGGAGAGAGGAGCGATGGAAAGATGATCTCACTGTCTGCTGGAGGACGAGGTTGTATTTTCTCTTGTACATCCTGGTCCTTTGTAGTGGACTGGCATCATTCACATGTAACAGGCCGCGGCAGAATGTGGCGTCAGGGTGCGAAAGGATGAGCGCTGTGCAGATAGGAAAACCCTGTAGGAGAGGAGAGAGAGGTTTGGCACCGCGTGAAGTCAGTGAGAATATACTGGCATAGTGAGATCTTTAAAATACCTCGAAGTAATATTTCTTTTAAAGCATCGAGCATCTTTTTATAGAGATATGGAAGGTTTTTATATTCTTTTTTTTGGATCCCACGTACAAGTTTAGTCATTTTTGGTGTTTGTGTCTTTCTGCTTTTGAAAAGTTAGGATATTAAGCATTCTAATGTAGTTCAGGCAATCTGTGTGGGTTTGGATTTGAGTGTGAGTACAGAAGAAGCCTGCAGGTAAATTACTGAATATGGATGGATGGAAACCTGAGGAAAATTCAAGCTTAGATGCAAAAGAATACTGCACTTCTCTGTATTCTTTGTGTGGCAGTTAAAGGTCTCAGTTCAGTTTAACGGGAGGATTGGTCAGGGAGGGTCAGCAGGTCTGTGTCAGGGCACTTTGAGGAGGAGAAGAGCTAAAAGTGTCCCTCCTGTGTCCTGCAGCTTGGTCAGCAGTATCCAGGTGAACCAGGTGAGATATATAAACAGGGAGGATGGTACTGAATGCAGAGCTTGAAGTCCACAAACAGGATCTGGCATAGGTTCTCAGGGGTCCAGGTGCTGCAGGATGAAGTGGAAGGTCAGGTTGATGGCGTCCTCTACAGAGCTGTTGGGTCCAGGAGGGGGAGGAGGTGATGGACTCGAGGTGGAACAGAACCATACGTTTAAAAGCCTTCATGACTAGAGGCGTCATTAAGTCCGGGTCTTCTTTGGGACAGGAACAATGATGGGTGGATGTCTGAAGCAGGCGAGACATGGCATGACTCCAGGGAGTGTCCGCGAAGACTAGAGATGCACCGATCCAGCTTGATTTTAACGTGAAGGATTAGCCAATACCCAATATTAACCAACACCAATGTAGGGATGGAAAATAGAACGTATGTTAAACAAGTGTCTCATGCACAACAGCAGTCACAAGTGAGATTAGTCAACAGTTGAAACTCAAACATCCAAACAGGACCATGAACGCTCGTGTTGATCAGACTTGTGAAAATGTGTTTTCAGATGATCTTTGGCAGAGTTTGCTTATGTGTGCATTATGTCATCATGGTAAATGATGAACATTCCACTATACACATACATGTAGAACACCCCCCCAGCATGATGTCATGACAAAGTATCAGTTATTTTTTATTGTTTGCTTTGCACAACTTATGCTTTACATAACAACAGTTCACGTGTGGAGTTATATTTATGACATTACATAGCACGAGGGGTATGTTAGTTTTCTGCGTGACCTCAGTGCTGTGTGACAGTGTGAGAGTCTGACGAGCTCAGCCCACATCTGTAGAATACCTCCAGACAGCGGCTCTGCTCTGTGCTCCTGCCTGGGCCTCCTCCTCCTCCTCTCCGGGCTCGGGCGCTCTGGTCCAGCCTCACCCCGGCCTCCTCCTCTTCTGTGGCTGCTCCGTGTCTCTGTGGTAATGCTCTGGGGATGATGGATGCCTCTGCTGCTCTCACACGAGCTCTGCTCTGATCTACATGAGGTCACGCACACACAGGCTCCGGACGCTCAGCAGGCCACAGCACACAGACTTTACACAAGTTTACATCCTGCACAAGAATTCTCAATCTAGAGATGTAAGAATATCCATATGTTACAGTACAGTTTGGTCAAGCAATATAAAAAACATGCAGTGCCATTTTTTACCAAACAAGCATCTATGAGAACCTTTGATATACTGTGTTTAACATCCATGGAATTACTGATATTGCAACATTTGCCCTGCAAATCCAGAATGATATATCCCTCTGTATTTTGTACAGAGGGATATCATTCTGGTCTCCATGTCTTCCACTGAACCAGGCTCAAGCACAATCGTCCAGTCAGATTTGTTTATTTCAGTGAAATTAAATGTGAAACAAAAGAGCTCATTGGTCACCTATTATTTTAAAAGAGTTTATATTTGTGTGGCAAATCCTCAATGATATTTCTGTCATTTTATACAGATATCAGTCTGGTTCCCAAGTGAGAAAAGGAGCTTATTGGTCACACATGATTAACAAATAAAATTAGATGAACAGAGTTTAGTGCTTCACTCAGTGATTCTACAGAAATCCACCATGTCTTTCCCAGTAAGATCAGACTCTGCATGTCTCTAATGTGCTAATTCATCTGCCATTCACTCCCATCTGAAAACTGGAAGATTCACCTGTGACCAGACTCACCAGAATTGTCAAATAATGAATCAAACATACTTGGTTTATGTTAAAATTATATGTTTCATAGATGAAGTGAGATTGAAATGACTTTTATCAGCGGTCTGCTTGACCTTTAGTTGTTGGAGTCATGGGAGCAGTTCTAGTTTTATTTTATTGTTTGATTTCATTGGTCTGTCATTGTCCTTCTGTATCCTTCTTTAGCAGTGAGCTCATGACACAGTGCTGCAGAGCGTTGGTCTGCAGAGGATGGGCATCAGGAGTAGGGGATGTCCGCCGCTCCGTGCTGTGGTGCAGGTCCCAGGCATGCCATGTTTTGGTGGAGTCGGAGGGGCGAGCGAGGAGCTGTGATGTGGTACTGCGTGGGACAGTCTAATTACAAGGCAGAGAGGAGAGAAAGGAGAGCAGAGGAGAGAGAAGAGAGGAGAGGAAGGAGAAAGAGCGGAGGAGAAGAGAGAGAAAAGAGGAGAGAGAGAGACTTGTTTGTGTTGGGTCTGGTGGCCTGCAGCAGGAACAATACACAAACATCATTGAAAACTCTGCAGGACTCACACCACAACATGTGTTTAACCCGGACTACTTTCCCAAGGGAAGTCGGACAGGCTGCTGTCCACTCCACTGCACTGCAGTCTGTCACAGGAGACCAGGACTTTAAACTGATTTAGAAAGAACTGTTTTAAGTCATGTTTTTAAGATTTACTCAGTGACCTGGTAGCCGTGGTTTGAGCAGTCATCTGAAGGATGGAAATTGATTTCAGCTTCAGTCACTCCTGCTGTTTTGTCCTTTGGCAAGACACTTCACATCTTAAAGTATGAATGTTGAGTGGTGTAGATGCAGTTTGTGCACATTTTTAACCTTTACCTCTGTCCCAGATAGGCATGGAACAATATAAAAAAAATGTCATGACAATTATGGGTCTGGGTTTGTTTCCTGTGCCTGTTCCAGCTTCTCCCATTAACCCAAAACACCAGTGTGCCGTAGGCTAATCCTCCACTAACATGCATATTCTTGTGTTCCTGGGCATCGCAATCAATTGTGTGATGCTTATCAGAGGGGCCAATGCACAGGATGTTCTCCATGTTTCTCTTGTTGCCCTTTACAAGTACCTTAAAGGAACTGTACGTGTAGGTTTGATACATGTCCTCAGATACCAGGTCAACATGTTCAAATCAAATATAGCTTTTACTGACAACAACTGTTATTGAGATTTTTTAAATAGACATGTCTAAAATCATTAGACACAGTGATGACCCATGTTTTGTGTTGTAATTTGGTGTTTTGGTGCAAGTTCTCCAAACAGAAAGCAGAATGACCCTCACATGAGTCTCTCATTTGTGTTGCCAATGCAGAAATCCAGTTGGTTTAACCTTAAAATGCCTCTCTCTGATCTGAATGGTCACTCCCTAAACCCCAGCCCCTGCACCAGTCATGAGTCAGTGCTAGTGCAGCCTGTGCAGCTCAGGGAGTGATTGTAGAAACTTTTGTTCAAACCGTAAGAGCACAGGCCATATACAGTTCATCTAAATCTACCTCAGTCTTACTAACAGACATGTGTTGCTCCTTCAGAAGTGTTTTTACTGCTAAATAAACAATTGTAACAGTTTTTTCCTCGTTTTTTAAAGCCCTTTTTGCATTTTCTATCATCACCATTTACGGTCTAATGTTTCTAGCGGTGGATAAAAACTCCATGTGCTAAACTCTGCAATTGAGCAATCACTAATCCCTAGGTGTGCCTTTAAAACTGGCCACAGAAAAGCCCTTAAATCATTTTCCCTAACCAAATCCAGCTTTCATAAAGATTTGTCTCCCATTTACAGAGCCGTCCTAACATGGCCAATTACCATAAAGCTGCCGTACATAGCATTAGCCTGTCTGACACTGGTCTTGTAGCATGCTGCCTTATAACCACCAGAATTCTTTCCACTCCTCACGGCGCTCACCAGCACATTTTCCCCCCGTGTTGTGTCCCAAAAAGCGTTCCTATTAGCGTCCCGGAGGCGGAGTGGTGCAAACGAGCAGATGATGTGTGGAAAAGAGCGAGTGTGCTGCACGGAGACCAACAGGTGGGAGGGGCCAAGTGCGGCTCATTATGTCAAATAGTCCCGAGTGTGTGCAGATGAAGGGCTGATGATGAAGGCTATGTCCAGATCTGTCTCCAGTGCGAGGAGTCTGTTTGTTTTTACAAATCATTTAATCATCTCCAGCTCCAAGGTTTGCGGTTCAGTAATAATGAACACGTATCTGACCGTTACCAGTGGAGTGAATGAGTAATCGAATGTAACATGCGTGAAAAACAAGGCGTTCTTTGAAAGCCAAAATATTACTTAATGTTTCAGAGACGGATGCACAATACCGATGTTAGTATCATGTACCGGCTCGATACCAGGGCACTGTCCTCCTGTACTCATTAATGCAAGAACTGATTTAAGATTTAAGATTTAAGATATGCCTTGATTAGTCCCACAGTGAGGAAATTCCAGTGTTGCAATGAACAATTCAAGAACAGCAGGAAAATGGTAACATGCAAGAAAACAGATAATAGATAATGATTTAAAAATAGACTTAAAAATAGACTTAAAAATAGACTCTAATGTAAGACACTGTTTCAATCCCGCTGTAACTGCGCTGTCTCTTATTTGAGGAGTCGTGAGGAGTTGACCATAAAAACTGCACATTTTAAAACAGATGTGTCTGTCACAGGAACTGGGTCCGGTCAAGTGGTAACGGAGGGAAACAGGGGCAGATTTTTGACATTCAAATGTCTCTTATTCAGAAACTAGAGGAACTATTGAAATAAGTAAAGTATCAGAATGTAGGAAAGAGTTACACTCCAACAGGGTCAAGTTAAACCTGTGATATTCTTTCAAGTTGTTGACAAAAAACTGAAAAAAAACTCATGTCGGTAACAGAGGGAATGAAATATGCAGCACTTTTTGGGCAATAAATCCAAACAGTGATAACTCTTGGTTCTCACTTCCATATCCTTAACAAACTGGTTTGAATATTTGCTTCATATAGTTTTCTACCATATGGTACAAGATTAGGTTGAAAAACCTCTTACTTTTTGACTCATGAGATTTTTTATTAAGAAAGGTCATGGTAACGGAGGGAAAAGTAACGGAGGGAAAATTGTGCAAACAAGTAGAAGGTGCAGGATTTTACATCATTTGTCACTTTTTTCTTCCAAATACTTTAATATTACTTCAAAATGAAAGGAAACTATTTCTATAAAATATGTCAGTCCTTCCAAGCATGTCCCTTCATCAACAGTTCAAAGATGGAATAACACAAGATATGATGAAATACAAACATTTATTTACATGATTTTTGGGTCTTTGAAATTTGGGAAATAATTTTTGTTCCATGTTTCATACATGGTCTGTTTAAAACATATGGAACTTTAGAACCAAAAATGGTACAGAAAAAAGGTCAACAGTTTCATAAACTAGAGTACATATGTATCTGTTCAATACATTTTTATATCAGATGCATTAACTTGAATTTTAGGCCTTGATGTTTACTTCTGCTTGACCGGGCCCACCTGTAAAAACAGTGCCTGTGTTTACTGTACTAGCATTCAACTGTTGCTAAGTTATGGTAACTGAAAATCAAATCTAGTGATTGAATAGATCTGGATTTAAGCTTTCAAATATATAACATAAGATATAAGATTGGGTCTAGCAGAAGATAAAAGTTGTTTACATTAGTAGTAATCACTAAAGGTGCTGCTAAATAATAATGGAATTATAACTGTGATTTTTGTAGAAATGTCAAACAGCCCCACAAATAAGTAAAAAAGTAATGTGAAAAAGTAGGCTATATAATAATAACAAGCCATGGAGATGAATGAAATGTACTACTGTGTACGCGTCCTGTAAATATAATGCCTGGAATCAGTATCAGAACTGTGTATCTGGAAGTACTCTAAATACTCGTATCGGTTTTGTAAAAAGTGGCATTGGTACGTCCCGGGTTGCAGATAGTACAGATGTGTCTACATGCATCAGTCCATGTAGTAATTGTTTATCATGTGTCTTGTCTCAGGTTTATCGAGTATGGAGAGTACAAGGGAAACTACTACGGGACCAGCCTGGACTCCATCCGCTCCGTCCTGGCCAAGAACAAAGTGTGCCTCATCGACATCCAGCCCCATGTAAGTCTCACGCAGCACCAGCTCAAGTCATGGCCGCAGGGAAGGAGGACATGTTTTTTCACTCATCATTCTTTACACACATGATTCAGTTGCTACGTTTTTATATTTTGCTTTTCGATCATAATTGGGATTTTATCATGATTCCTGTACTGTCAGTCACTCAGATCCTTACAGAAGTAAACCAAGGAGTGGAGTAGGTGGGAAAAATGATATTATATAGAGCAGGGGTGGGCAAACTAAGGCCCGGGGGCCATATGAGGCCCTTTATTCTTTTTAATCAGGCCCACCGAACTTGAATAATAATTTGAAGTGTTTTAAAAGTCATTTCAGTAAATAGTAAATAACGTGGAACTTGAAAGACAGATATTTTATTGTAATACTTTGTAATGATTTTCAATTTATGGGATATTTCAATAACATGAGATATGTTTTCTGTATATCCCATGTTATTTTTTTCTCTTATGAGGTGGATTACCAAAAAACTCCGTCCATCTGCTCCTGGTCTGGCCCTTCTGTCAAATTTCAGAACCTTTTGTGGCCCACGAGTCAAAAAGTTTGCCCACCCCTGATATAGAGTATAGAGCTACATTAAAGATGTACTATGCAACTTTCTCATGGAGGTTTACTGCTTTTCAGCATTTTCATCTCCATGGAAAAAAAGCAGCTGACGCCACATGTTACAAGTCAGATGTTTGGACGGACATACATTTTGAACATTTCACAGAAAACCAATGATATCACGTCAGAGGCGAATATGTTTGGTTCTGGCTCAAGGTGTGGCGAGGGCGTGGGGACCAGGCTGACCTGTGTGTGTATAAAATATACACAGAGATCAGTTTGGATTTGTGCAGCTCTATTGACATATTCTCAAAGCCAGTCCCTGATTTCTTGGACTGCATCAGTGTTTATTATGGTTAGGCTGCTCTCCTCCTATACGTTTCTATTTACCACTGTCTCGCTCAGTTCTATTCAGGAGGCCTTGGCTGCTTGAGTTACACAAGCGCGCCTCAGAGGGGGCTGTTTTGAAGCAGCAATTACGGCTAATTTCCTCTATTTGAAGATTTCCTCTTTGGCTTATGTGTCTTGGGTGGTGGCGGCCATTCAGCCTCTTCTCAAACGACCAGTGGCTTGTCGCTAAGCCCCAACAAAGCTGCAAGCTGCGTTCCCCCACTGTCTCAGGTCTCTGCTCTGGCTCTCTCTCTCTGCTCTGGCTCTCTCTCTCTCTGCTCTGGCTCTCTGCTCTGCTCTGCTCTCTCTGCTCTGGTCTCTGCTCTGGCTCTCTCTGCTCTGGTCTCTGCTCTGGTCTCTCTGTCTCTGCTCTCTGCTCTGGTCTCTGCTCTGGTCTCTCTCTCTGCTCTGGTCTCTGCTCTGGTCTCTGCTCTCTCTGCTCTGGTCTCTGCTCTGCTCTGGTCTCTGCTCTGGTCTCTGCTCTGGTCTCTGCTCTGGTCTCTGCTCTGGTCTCTCTCTCTGCTCTGGTCTCTGCTCTGGTCTCTGCTCTGGTCTCTGCTCTGGTCTCTGCTCTGGTCTCTGCTCTGGTCTCTGCTCTGGTCTCTCTCTGGTCTCTGGTCTCTGCTCTGATCTCTGCTCTGGTCTCTGCTCTGGTCTCTGCTCTGGTCTCTGCTCTGCTCTGCTCTCTGCTCTGGTCTCTGCTCTGGTCTCTGCTCTGGTCTCTGCTCTGGTCTCTGCTCTGGTCTCTGCTCTGGTCTCTGCTCTGGTCTCTGCTCTGGTCTCTGCTCTGGTCCCTGCTCTGGTCTCTGCTCTGGTCAGTCTGTTTGTTTTCACTCCCAGCGTAATGACCCAGGCACAAACAGTGCATTATAGAGCAGGGGCTGGCGTGGTGTCAAAGCGCCCGTCTCGGAGCTCCGCGTCCTGGGATCGGACTGGGACAGAGTCTGGGGAGGATCAAGTGGCTGTACTGAGGTTCACATGTGAAATCAGGCGTCTTGGCACGGTGCACGCTGCTGACAGTCACTGCAGTGTGGGACTCAAAAAAGAATATTCCATTACTTTACTTTTAGTCAGTTTCATCACGGTCACCCTAATATCAACAACACAGAAGTTATGTTCTTGGGGAAGCTTGGCCATGGGTGAGGAATGCACCATAAGTCAAATCCTCCAGCTGAGTTAGTTCTGACCAGGCCTAGTTCAAGCTTTGGAGGTCTTGAAAGCGTCGCTGCTGGCTCTTTTCAGCATGGAGGAGCAGTGGCTCTACTCCAGGCTCCATTTTTCATGATGAGCCTGAACTTCAATGAAATACTCTTCTAGTATTGAATGTACAATAACAGAGAAGATGTTTAGACACAACACTAGGCCCAATTTACTATCAAACACAAATATATGTCATATACATAGTGGGGGTCCCTGCTCCTGCTCAGTTTGGGGGTCCCTGGCCTGAAAAACATTGAACATGAAGACCCATGATATGAGATCATTCATTGGGTCTAACAGAAGATAAGATAAGAGTTGTTATGCTAAAAGTGGCTCCTGGGCAGTTAGTGTGGGGCAGCAGTAGTAATCACAAAAAGTGCTTCTCAATAATAATGGAATTATCACTGTGATTTTTGTAGAAATGTCAAACAGCCTCACAGATGAGTGAGCCAGGCTCAATCAGAATCAGAATTTATTTGTCATTTCAGTATTAAAAAAAGTACACAGAAACAAAATACTGCACTCAGGTCCAGGTCAACAGGAGCATAGATAATAAAGAATAAATAGTTAAAATTTTGTATGTCAACCATTTATTCTTATTTATTTTTTTATATATGGCGCCATCTAGTGCCTCCGCTCAATTTAATTTCTCTCCAGCGACTAGGTCAAGAATCAAAATACACTAGACTGTTTGCAAGAACCCTGAAAGTGTGAGTCCAGGCACCAGCCAATCAGTGAAGAGTCAGACATTCTGTGTTGTCAACGAGATCGAGGATTTAAAGCCGGAACAAAGAGAATGTTTGGTGAATTTTATCAAAGGGAAATACGTTATTGTTCTTCTTCTTACGGGATTTGGGAAAAGCTTAATATGCCAGTTAACCCCGTTAGCGGAGCATTACATACGTCACGACCAAATAGCAGCGATTAGTTAAATTTAAAAAAGTACCCGCCTACAGTCAAGTGAACAAATTCTAATGCTGCGAGGTCAGACGGTTTCCACGAAGTGAAACTAACTGCTGAATCAGCCTACAAATAAATATTCTAAAGTCAAAAGTCATGGAGGAGCAGTGGCTCTACTCCAAGCTCCTCATGTGTGACTGAGGGTGTGTTCAGCTGCCCTGTGGAGGAGACGTGTGTACGAAAATATGTTTTAGAAGACCTAGAATCTCGATAAGAATTTGCAGGCTCCTCTCTCGGTTCTTGTTATTCTGGTGCATCTCTTGCGGGTTGGGCTAAGTGTCTTTTAGCTCAGCGAGGGGCCTGGGTCTGACGCCACCACAACCACCTCTGTCCTCTCCTTCACCTCCTCTTCACCTCCTCTTCACCTCCTCTTCACCTCCTCTTCACCTCCTCGCACACGGCTAATGTGGCTTTAAGCAACTGTTAGAAACACGCAAACACTAACTCTGCATCCAGATCATTCTCACAACACCCATACACTAACCAGAAGCTGCGTTTAAACCCTGGGGCCAGAAATAGACTTTTTGTCCAACTATTTGGCAACCGCCCATTCTCCATCAACATAAAGTGCTGCTAAAGTACACGCTATGGTTCATTTTTAGCAGCTTATATTGGTTCAAAAACAGCAGGAGATGTTGAGTGGAAGCCAAGTTTAGAACAAAGCGCGCTCAGACCACAACAAGTGTCCCACCAAGGAGGAGAAGAAGAAGAAGAAGGCCCGTCTGCTGCGAATGCGTCACCTCCAGAGCAGAGGCCAAGCTGAAGCGGGGTGTGAGAGTGTAGTCATCTGTCTGAGCCTGGGACAGCTCACAGGGAAAGAGTGTGTGTGGATTTGAAAGTGACAGACTTGACTCAGCTTAGTGGTTTTGGAAGGGTTTTGTGCCAGATGCCCTTCCCGTCAATACCAGATACATTGTGAAAAAAAAAATAAAAAAATAGGCACATTGTTCTACGCTTGGGTAAGACCTGAACTGACGACCTTGTGCAAGTTTCATTGTTGACAAAAGCACACGTTGCATGCTGGGAATTATTTTGGTCGGCGGCAAGAAACACTAATTCAACATGATGGACGGAGCGAGAAAGCACGTAAAGGGTATTGATCCCGGTTATTTATCCACTCTAACGGCAGAGGACCCAAGACCATTTGACCAGAAATTGGTCATAAGCATCGATGGAGCCAAATCACCCTTTTCAACCCCGACAAAAGGTGGAACAAACCAAATTTCTGGTCAGAATCTCCAACTACCTGGACAAATATTCACTTGGGCGATATCCACAATGACTTGGTGGAAACTCCTGGGCCATTCACAGCAGAAAAGATGAAAACCTCCAAGAGTCTCGATGTGTTGTTGAACTTGTTGGAGTCCACGGTTTGTTAGGATCTTCTACGTTTGCTCTGCGGATGTTTCGAAGCCATTTAATTCACCGTTAGCGGTTCTTTTCACTCAGAATACGAAAAAGACATTTTCCTTCTTCCGTGCTTCTATTTGTGCATCTGATAATGCAGCAGGAATTTACCATTATTTGGGATAAATACGCAGAGTTACGCACTGTTTGACGCTACCATGTTTCTTGCCTCCGACCAAAATATTTCCCAGCATGCAACGCGGGCTTTTAATAACAATGACGTCAGCTGAAACTCGTCTATTGAAATTAGAGACTCATTTTTCGCAGGTATCGATACTAAAGACGTCACATTCACAGGACAGACACAAACCTTTCCTGAACGTCTTTAGAATGATCTGAGCTGTATCACAACAAATATAAGAGCACATAGACCAGTATACACATTACCCGGATGACTGACGGGGGTTGCAAATGTAAGAAAAAAAGGAAATGTAACTTAAAAGTTCATTATGGCATTTTGTGAAGAGTAGACCACCTGTTCGTCTCCATGGGGATGTCATTAGTTTGTCCATAACCTTGAAAAACATACATTAGAAACATGAGCCCTGAAGAAACTACCAGGTTGCCAACAAAATGTCAGATGGTAAATTCATTTGGTAAATTCATTGATAAGATTAATGCTATACTGTGGAACATTCTCAGCCAGGGGTCTCCAACCTTTACCTCTGGTGAGCTACCTTCATGAAATGAAAATGCCAGAGACAGTGTTGGGGAGTAACAGATTACATGTACCAGAGTTACATAATCAGAGTACAAATTATGAGTAACTGTATTCAGTTACAGTTACTGTTTCAGTAAGTAGTAATTGGATTACAGTTACTTTGTTAAAATAAATTGATTACATGGCGTTATTTTCCTGTTTTCACATTTTGGGCTATATCCTCTTTATTTTTTTAATTCATTTTTTTCTCGGTAATTCCACTCATTGACGGACACTAAACTAGATCTAAACCAGGTCTAAATCAAGACTAAAACAGGACTAAACCAGTTCTAAACCATTTCTGAACCAGGACTGAACCAGGACTAAACCAGGTCTAAACCAGGACTGAACCAGGACTGAACCAGGACTAAACCAGGACTAAACCAGGACTAAACCAGGATTTAACAGGACTAAATCATGCTGCGTGGACCGTGTCTCCTCCTCTTCTATCAATAATATTTTTAACATGGTTCAGTAAAGTCTGGACTTTTTATTGTCTTTTATCAGACAAAACATCTTATGTGAAGATTTCCTCGTCTTTGCTTCTCTACAGCAAATCAAGTAATCCAAAGTATTCAGATTACGTTACTCACTTTAAGTAATTTAATGGATTACGTTACAAACTACATTTTGGGACATGTAATCTGTAATCTGTAGGGGAATACATTTTAAAAGAAACCTCCCCAACACTGGCAAAGCAAAGACATCTCCATGGAGAATAGCTGGTGATGGATCCTCCACCAGAAAAGTTACATAGTGCATTTATAGCCCTATTCATAAAGGATAAATACAACCTGGTGACGTAATTTTTGAATTAAGGTCCCGCTTCTGTTTTATTTGCAGCGCATTTGCATGATAAGCAAAGTCTGTAAATGAATCTGTTTTAGTGACTTTGACTGAGATTGAAAGAGAAAAGAACATGGAAAGAAAAGAAACTAATAGAAAAGGTGCAATTACAACAACAAACTCTGAGCTGCAGATTCACACAGGACTAGGATTATCACCGGACGTCTGTGTTTGGTGAAATATAGTAGGTAACTTGCAGCAGAATTTTTACTTTAACAAATTACAGACATGGCACATTCACACTGGATTAAGATCTCAGGCATCCTCTGCAATTATTACAAATCACCAAAGGTCCACAGGTCACCCTAGTCCCGTGCGAATAGGGCTATTGACATACAGAAGTGTGTTGTGTTTGCACACCAAGAAACGGTTAATGATTCAAACCTGTGCTGTTGTTGAGTCTTTGGACAAGACATTTCAGACATTGCTCATTTCACAGCAGTGTACTAAATCTGACTGGATGTGTCCTCTTTCTCTCTCTTATTCTTCCGTCAGTCGATAAAACACCTGAGGACAGCAGAGTTTAAGCCCTTCGTGGTGTTCATCAAACCTCCGTCTGTGGAGAGGCTGAGGGAGACCAGGCAGAACGCCAAGTTCATCTCCGGGAAAGACGACAAGGCCAACGGCAGGACCTTCACTGTGAGTAACATGTACTGTAACTTACATCTCACACCCCTCACATCTCACATCTTGTATCTCATATCGAGGTCTGAATCACATTAACGGTTACAGTTACCATATTTTCGAAAACAGTGTAAAACAGTGCGGCACAGGACACATTTTGAAAGCTCATTGCAGCACGGGCGGGAGTGGGACTACACAATGCGGAAGTGGGTGGATTTGATGATGAACTGAAGTCCCACAAACTAAATATGAGTGTAAAGTGAAATATACAAATGATGCATGTAAACCTGTCATACATCATTTGTGCTGGATATTTTAAGCAGCCTAAATTTGCGGATGTGGTTTAATCTCATGCACATTTTAAACAATTCCTTTCTGCTTCTCTGTGTTTGATAGAGTTTAAGAAAGAGAACATCCCTATCTTGCAGGATTTGCGGGTGAGAGTGGGACAAAATATTGCAGGTGCGGGCAGGAGCGGGACTGAAAATTCTGTCCCGCGCAGACCTCTACTTTTTAGCATACCGAAGTCGTACTAAAACATTTTGACAGATTTTTGAGCGCCATGTACCACATGAAAAAAAGGTCAGTAAGCACAACCAGAATTAATACGTAAGGCGCACTGTCGATTTTTGAGAAAATTCAAGGATTTTAAGTGCGTTTTATAGTGAGAAAAATACGGTATTCTGATATGAAGCTCGATCTGTGGCGAATCCACTATATGAATATTGAGATTAATTACCTGGTCCCCGAAGGGTTGACCAGGTTTTGTATTCACCCTGTGTCTGTGTGTCTGTGTGTCCAACCACAATAATTCTCCCATTTATGTCACCAAATTTGGTATGTGGGTCAAGCCCCCGTGCCTGATGCCGCAAAAAATAAGTTGGGTGAAGATCCGAGGTCATTTGAGGTCACACGGGTCAATTGAAAGGTCACGCCATTATAAAGGATCGGCAATTTTGGTAATTTCTGAACTATCTGCGGCCTAAAATATTCACCCAATCATCACACAAGTTGGCACACACATAACCGGGGTACACTGGATGTTACAGGTTTTTTATTCTGTTAGTAATTTCTAATGGAGAGACTCAACAGTGACCGTCCACTCTGGTTCTAAAAGTACATTTTCCATACATTTATCCCACAGGCTTTTTGAAAAATGAAAATATTCAAAGTTCAAACATGGAGGTTACTATCCATAATGCGGTTGTTTTAAAAGTGCACTCTGTAACTTTTTGTTTGGGCCACCGTCACCTGTTTGTTTCTATGGATACGTCATTGCTCTCATCCTGGAATGTTCCACAGTGTGACATTAAACACCTCTGCTTTACATTTATTCAATTACAGTTGGTTTTATAGCTCAAAAATACTCATCAAACCAGACATTCTGACTGTGAGCGGGGTCGCCTCTCCAGAGATCTGACCTGTAACTTGGTCTGGTTTGGTCTCCATGAAGATAGAAATGTTTGACGCCATACTGTGAAACATTCCAGACAAAGCAATAACATCTCCGTGGAGAAAAGTCTGTGACGCACACTCCACCCAAAAAGTTACACAATGCAGCTTTAAGTTAAAAACACACATTTAAAACGCAAGATTCTGACAAATGTAGTAAAGCTAAGAACATTATATAAATTTTTTTAAAGTAACTGTATTTTTTTGGCATTTTATCTGTTGTCTAATTCCATAACTATAAAATAAGAAATAAAATAAATATAAAATAACAGATAATTAACTTGGATTTAGAAAAGTTGGTGACATAAATACACAATAAAAGTAAAGTTTTGGGTGGATTGGTTTGAGAATCTTGGAACACGGTGTACAAATATTTTTACTACATCTTTTCTATTGCTGAACATGATTTGTACGGAAGGAGCGTTTTATTTGCCCATAAAGCACGAGGTTTGAATTGTGCTTCTTAAAAATGACACCACATGTTTTAACTCCCTGTAGTGTAAAACAAACCTAACTGTAGCTTTATTACCCCTGTACGTTTATGACGGAGAAGACCGGTCTCCGCTCCAGCCTCCCGCGGGACTCCAGGAAACAATGGGCCCCACTATACGACACAATCACTAACAATCCGAAATGTTTTCTTTCGTAGCTCTCCCAAGTCTCACAAACGCACCTTTTTAAAGACTGTGGGACGGCGGCCATCCTCGTCTCATTACCGAGCGTGTTCTGTGGTCTTGTACAGTGGCAGCGGAGAAAGGAATTCACTGATGTACGAGGAGCGTGCAGAGTTCAAAACATGTGGTCAATTAAATCAAGGCGGGGCTAAACTACAAACTGTAATTCAGCTACAGAAAAGACTCAAATGGGAAAATCTGTCCTGGGGATGTGGAGAACTGGTCATACGTCAACGTTATTTAAAGGTGCATTGCCCAACTTTTTTTTTTTTTTGATTTGCGTGTTTCTGGGTGGATTTCTTCTAGACACTTCCTCATTAACTCAAAACATGCACAATTGGGTCAAATCCTCCAGCTAAAGTAGTCCTGACCAAGACTACATTAAGATCATGGTACAGCAGGCCCGGTGGTATTGAAGGATGGGTCAAATGCAGAACAGATTTCCCTACAGCAGTGCTTCTCAATTACCGTAATTTCTGGACTATTAAGCACACCAGAATATAAGCCGCAGGTGTCCACGTCTTCAAGAACGTTTTCAAGTTCGGGCCGTCTGCTTTTATCGCCTTTGTCAAAGTCTCACCGTGAGACTTTGACAAAGGCGATAAAAGCAGACGGAGTCGATCGACTCACTGATGTCGAGCTCACGTGCAGCAGCTCGATTTCCTTCTTCTACAGCCACATCAATCGCCTTCAACTTAAAAGCTGCATCATCTGCATTTCTTTGTGTGTTTTCCATGAGAAGGGTGTGTGTATGAAGCACAAAATAACTCTTCAAAACACAATCAAACAACATCTTCCTCAGCGCATCACCCTCCTCTCTCCCCGCGCTCTGTTGCGCATGACTCTTGCAGAAAGAGCCACCGTCCTGTCTGTATCATGTCAGAGTCTTGATTTCAGCAGATTTCAGGCTCTTCCGGGGGCAGGGATAGGAATATTGATCAAGTATGAGTGGATGTTCATCTACTGAAATGTGACATTTCTTCTTGTCATTGAGACACTCACCTGCATTTAACACATCTGGGTCATTAAGATGTCTCCCACTCACTAATGTTCATTTAACATCAGAACTTATTTTATTACAAGGTGATAAACTGTTTGAGTGTGGAGTGTGGAGAAGCGACCCTGCTCACAGTCAGAATGTCTGTTTTTCTGGGTACTCTAGAGCAATAAAATCACTTGTAACTGAATAAATGTAAAGTAGAACTGTTTAATGTCATACTGTGGAACATTCCAGGTAGAGGAATGACATATAGTAAGTAAGACTTTACACTACTGGTCAAAAGTTTTAGAACACCATACTTTTTTTTTGGAGTTTTTTACTCTTTACTCTTGACCAAAACGTATTCTTAACTTTTGATTGATGTGTGTGTCCACCTTTGGCAGATGTAACAGCTGAACACACTCGTGGCTCGTTCTTTTTACAACAGAAAACAAATATTGTTCAGAAAGTTCTTCCCGAGTCTGTTGGAGAAGTTTCCATAAATGTGTGGCACTTGTCGGTTGCTTCACTCTTCTGTCCAGTTCATCCCAAACCAGCTCCATGGGGTTTAAGTCTGGCACTGTGCTGCTGGACACTTCATGTTTTCAAGTTCATCATCTTGTAGGTTAGTTTTGGCAGAACTTGGACTTGTGTTTTTTAATCTTTTATCTTTTTTTTAACCTCTAGCTGTTCAGTTCTTACCTTTGTACCATTTCACATTCTTCTTTGGACTTGCACGACTTGAATTGCAATAAATAACTTTAAAAATGTGGTTGTTCTAAAACTTTAGACCAGTAGTGTATTTATAGAACACCTTTCACAGATAAAAAAAATCGCAGAGTGCAATAAACAACATGAAAAAACAGAGGAATTACAAACACTGTCAACCAGAAGCTCATCTAAACATCCAAACAAGAAAATGACAGAACTTGCTTCAGAAAAGTTACACAATGCACCTTTTGAATATGTCATGTTTCATAATTGTTTACCAGTCCCAATGTACTGTACTGATTCTGTAAAATATCTACTTTGACGTGCCAAGTTCTTATTTGGTTACTGTGAGCGAATGAACCAAGTAACTCAAACTCCAAGCAGATTTTTTTTAACGCTCCAAAAAAAATGAGACAGTTGGTGCTGGCATGTTCTGGAGAATGTGTGCAGACTTAAATCCTACAAAAAAAAAGTTTCACAATGAGTCAAAATTATGAATAACGCAAGAAGAATGAAAAAACAAAACAAAATCTAGTATTGAGCCTTGGACAGTTGAGCTTAAGTGTCCCCGTGAGTGGCTTATTATATGTAACTCTGCAGCTAATCCTGTGCGAAGTGGAAAAGCCCCAGTAAGCCCTGCTCTCCACAAACTGAGCATTCAAGTCGAACAGGCTTGTGTTTATGTGCCCAATCTGTCTATTTATATTTGTGTGTTTGGCAAAGAAGACGCTGCAGAGGAGACTATATCCATCCAGAGATCTACCGTGGAGGCCTCCCAACGAAAACACAAACAGAAATGTGCTGATACACCGAACACGCGGAGAATGAGCCAGGACCACAATGTAGCGCAGGCCCGAGATAGTGGGACGCTTCGGAGTACTGCGGCTGAGAATACTACAGCCTCGCTTTAAGTACTGCGGCTGAGAATACTACAGCCTCGCTTTAAGTACTGCGGCTGAGAATACTACAGCCTCGCTTTAAGTACTGCGGCTGAGAATACTACAGCCTCGTTCAAAATACTGTCTGAGTATACTACTGCTTCACTCCAAGTACTGTATATGAGAATACTACTGTTTCCCTCAAAGTACTGCATCTGAGAATACTACAGCCTCGCTTTAAGTACTGCGGCTGAGAATACTACTGCTTCACTCCAAGTACTGTGTTTGAAAATACTTCAGTTTCGCTCAAAATACTGTCTG